GGAGCAACCTGGGCTGGTGGAAGTTGTATCAGCCCATGGCAGGGGTGGAATGAGCTGCTCCTTATGGTCCCTTCCAACTCAAACCATTCCAGGATTCCTGGTACTGGTGAGAAGGATTTTTTTGCCTGAGATTAGAGTAGATTTTATTAATGTTTTAAATTGCTTTCTAGCTTAGGCTCTTGGTGGTTCAGACCCACCAAGCAGAGCCTGAATTCTCCTTGCAAACCACAGTAGCTCCACTTCAACACTAGTTTTTTGGTTTTTTTGCACTAAGCAATTGTCTTGCTGCAATTTAGCAATGACTTTTCTTCCAGACATGCTTTCCACCACCACTCCAAACACCTGGGAAGGACTAAGAGCAGCATCAAACTCCCTTTTTATTCCTTGGGGGTGAAAAGCATGTGTAAGCCTAGGTGATCTCCTTTAGTTGCAAAAGATGAAGTTCTTGTCAAGGAAACACGCTCAGGGTAAGTAGAAATAGGCTGTAGGGCAGGTAGGAGTAGCTCCAAGGCTATAGGGCAGGTAGGAGTAACTCCAACACTCTTCTGGAACAATAGGAAACTGAAGATGTGCAGATGTCTATTTTTTTTCAAGCATAAAATAGTAAGTGACAGCAGGACTCACTGTAAAAAAAAAAAACAAAAAAAAGCTCCCAGGTGTGGTTCTTCTTTACCTTGTGTCTTCTATTGTAAAATGAACTTGGACAGTGACAGTTTTGTGTGGGGAAAAAAACAAAACAAAGAGAAAAAAAGGAAAAAAAAAAGGAAAAAAAAAAAAGAAACAAACCTAACTCAACCTGTGTGAAACTGCATAATGCTATCAGCTAACCTCCATTCTGTAATGCTACCTTGTATGTTGGATTTGTTAATGCACATGGAGCGTGCAAATAAAACTCAGATCACTTTAGCTGCTGGTGGTGATGTGTGTGACCATCAGGAGTTGTGGATGTGGCTGAACACCTGAAGGGTTTGGAGCTGTGTGACCATCAGGAGTTGTGGATGTGGCTGAACACCTGAAGGGTTTGGAGCTGTGTGTGACCATCAGGAGCTGTGAAGGTGGCTGAGAACCTGAAGGGTTTAGATTGGATATTAGGGATAAATCCTTCCTCGTTCGCTGTGAGGGGTTGGAATAGATTTCCCGGAGCAGCTGCTCCATCCCGGAGAATGTTCCAGACCAGGTTGGATGGGGGTTGGAGCCACCGTGGCTAATATAAGATGTCCCTGCCCACAACAGGGGGTTGGAATGATGATTTTTAAGGTTCTTCCAACCCAAACCAGT